CGAGCTGACGGCCATCCAGTGCAAGAACATCCCTGATTACCTCAACGACAGGACTGTGCTGGAGAAGCACTTTGGCCAGTTCGTAAAAGTCCGGCGCGTCATGACCAGGCGTAATAAGAAGATGGCCATTCTTCACTTTTTTGATCATGTGAGTATCAAAAGTATCATGTGAGTATCAGAAGTGGACGGCACAAGAGTTGGGAGTATTCAGCGTGCAGAAGTCTCCAGGGATACCTTAGAACCTCTTGCAGTACCTAAAGGTGGCTTACAGAAAAGAGAGAGAGTGACTTTTTACGGGGACAGCAGGTAGGGAGAGGACAAGGGCAAACAGTTTAAAGTAAAAGAGGAGTTACTTTTATATTACTTAGATGTTAAGAAGAAATTTTTCCCTGTGAGGGTGGTGAGGCCCTGGCTCAGGCTGCTGTGGCTGCCCCATTCCTCTAAGTGTTCAAGGTCAGGTTAGGTGGGGCTTGGAGCAACCTGAGCTAGTGAAAGGTGTACCTGCCCTTGGTAGGGGGTGGGACTGGATGGTCTTTCAGGTCTCAGCACTGAGGTGTGTTAAGCAGCCAGTTCAGAGACTGCATGATCTGATTCTGTTTTGTGCTTAAAAACACACCTTTGGTTTCAAGTGCCCTAAATTTGCTGTAGCTCTTAGAAAAGCACTATTTTTTTTGGGGGGGGACTAGTCCAGCTGATTGTTCTTAAGTGGGAGGCTAAAATGCAGCAACCAGAATTTTGTGGGAGTTGGGAAAAGTTTCTCTGGCAACGTTTCTCTTGCTGTGCTGTGAGTTTTGTTGTTGTGGTATCAATAGGTTTTCATGCTCTGCTTTTGTTTTCTTTCAGGCCTCTGCAGCTCTTGCCAGGAAAAAAGCGAAAGAGTTACACAAAGACATAGTAACATTTTGGCAAAAGAAGAAGACGAGTAAGTCTGTGTTTCCAGATTACTGGGTGATGGGTAAATAGCATTCTAGCTGCTCTTCTTTTTTCCTGATGTAGTGAGAATGATATCAAAATTATCTCTAGTAGGAGATATCATGGTTGAAAATTGCACTGTTTCTCTCTTAAATTCACGTTGTCTAAAACCTGTTGCTTGATCTGAAGCAAAATGCTGTTCAGCCACACAGAAGAGCTGAAGACACCTGAAATGACTGTAGTTTTAGAAGAGAGTTTAGAAATCCTTTATGCAGCTGCACAGCAGGAATATGATGATGTTGACTTTGTGCTTCTGTCTAGAAGTAGGAGTTCTTTGGGGGTGTAAGAAAACCCAGTTTGAAATGCTTTGCTGTCTGCCTCAGACCATGGACTGAGAACCAAGTTAAGGAGTACCCTGGAGCTGAGTGTCTGTTTTGCTGAGGCTGCTGTTATGTGTATCAACAGTTAGACTCTGTTTGAACCAAAAAAGAGAACAACCTACAGAATTTAGAATTGGGAAACCTTGATTGCAGACCCTGTTTGGGATTAGGAGGAGGTTGTTAATCCCCAGGCAAACACTGGAATTGTCAAGTGCTTCCCTTTCTTTAGCTTTATGAATGCAGCATGTGTACCTGATCCCAGCCTGGGGATGCACTTCACCTGCAGCGTATGAAGGGTTCGCTTCAGCTTTGACCAGCCACAGACTTGCCTTCCAGAAAACAGCTGCAGAATTGTCTTCCTGAGAATTAACATCTTGAAGCAGCAGCTCTAGGGCTGCCTCTTTGCCCTTGTCATTTTATTGTGGTGTTACATCCCTGG